AGATGACACCTCTGCCATATAAAGTTTTACCTTTGCTCGTCCTACATCCGCTATAATCGCCCGAGGCAGGCGGCCATGCGATTTACAGGCAGGCGGGCGCCGGGAAAATAGTTCTCTTATCCGCTCGCAGATATTTGGATTAATGTTGGCGAATTTTAGACGAATGTCGGAGAACAATTGCGGCTTTTTGACAGATTAGTTGGGGCGCAGTGGCCGCATTCTCGCGAACTTTTCGCCAAAATATGCAAGGTTGTTGAGGACCGCGCAGTCCTTTGTGAGAGACCGCACGCTCGTGGATACCTTCCTCTGGGAGAAAGTACGCTAAACTCGGGTAATTGAACCATCGGTGGTACCTCTGTTATGTAGTGTGGTACCTTTGCTCGGCGTACGCCAGAAGCTGCCTAAAGAGTGCGAGCGCCTGCTAAAAGTTTGTTTCGCACTCGCTGAAAGGGAGATTTGACCGGCGCTCGTAGAAAAATTTGTATCGCTGCCCGTTGGCAAACACGGAAGTACCTCGCTTAAGGTTTGGCCACGCCCCAAAATTCTGCTGATTGCTTGCAAGAAAGCGTCGCTTATATGCCATACGACAACGTGCAAGTACTGAGATACTTCTTTCAAGGTGGTCCTACTTGCAGGGTGCTTATCGTTGCTATCCCGGGTACTTGCAAAAAGGAGAGGAGGAACCTTGAAACCGAATTCTATGTATACGTGTTCTGTCGTATTCATGTTCTAATTCTGTCAGTGTTTAAGGAAGCACAATTAATCACAAGATTATGTGCATTTAAATGTTAGGAGAGGTGAGTTTATGCGGAGATTATCAAAAGCCTATGTGAACTGGAACTTCAGAGTCGCATTTGGGTGGCAAATGTCATCTTACAATTATAAAAAATAGCTTCATTGTTCTTGTTAGTCTTTGCGCCTATACACGCCAGATATGGACCGATATCGCTACTGCGGTGAGTTCTTTTTCCATTCCTCGCTAATGGTGAATATTCAAAGAAAATTTTGTCATCCTTTTCAATCACATAATTTTCCACATTTTTCGTAATTTGTAGAAAATAGATTGTGGATGCAAATAGATGTCTGTTATCTGCAGCTCTGCTGTAAAGATTTCAGATTAATACAACGGAACCCGGTACATTTAGAGAAGATCCTTAAGGAAACGATACCCGCTGACCCCCACCATTCAATATGAAATGTACAGGGTTGGGGGAAAGTCTTTGAACACGGTAATTTATCGTAATGACGAAGCTAGGCAAAGTGATTACATGAAATCAACAGATAATGTTTACTCAACTGTCTGCTACATAAAATTGTTTTACAATTTGAAGATTCGTCCTTTGCCGCGAATACAAGCTCGAAATCGCTTGAGAACGCTGTCCATGATGGCACGGAAGTGCTCCACGTCGAATTCCTCCCATGCATCCTGGAGAGCACGTTGCAGAGACTCCACAGTCTTGCGTGAGTGAGCGCAGGCTTTGGCCTAAAGAACTGACCACTTGCGGTAATCAAGGGTATTCAGATCCGGCCAATACGGAGGCCATTCCACTGGAGTAATGAAGTCCTTAACGTTGCTTTGGAGCCATGCTTGAATAACCTTCAGTGCGCTGTGCGCTATCCTGCTGTAAGCACCAATCGCTCCCAGCAAATGGGTATTGGTCCAGGCCAACAATTCCTTCCTCAGGCACATGCGTGGCAATGTCCACCCTACACACTGAGACCTCAAAAATTAGCGGCATTTTGCTGTCGGAAGCGATCGCCGCGCAAATTGTCATAAAAACCGGATGAAGCTTTCCTTCTGCAATCAACCCTTGCTATTGGCTTCCTGAGGCGTTTAGGTGATGACTCTGTTGTTTTGGCGATCAGAAACTTGCTTCACGGTGAAAATTTTGACGTCAGAAAAGAGTATGTTTGGTGGCGTGCCTTGGATAGGCGTTCAGGCATTCGATGGCATCTGCGCAGTTAAATCAGCTTCGTTTCTTCCCAAAAAGCATGAATTATTAGTATCTTGAAAAGCTTCATCCCAAGGCCTTGTTCCACGATGTCGGAGACTTTTCTACCAGAGATGAACAGCTTTGAACCCAGCTCAATCAAGCTTCTCCGAGGATTGCGACAATGGCGCTGGCGAACGATCTTCAGAATTTTGTGAGTATCCGCAGTAGCCAATTTATCACTTGTACAGCAGTTTTGGGTGCTGTTCATATCCTGGAAATGACGCAAGGTGGAAAAGACGCTGATTTGTAAAGTTTGGAAAACCCGCGCAATCTTGTGGTTAGCCATCCTCTCTTCGTGCATCTTCGCCACCAACGCTCGCTCCGTTCCAGAAGGCATATCCTCGACAGGAATAAAGCTAATATCTCAGTTTTTGGAGGACTTGTAACTAAGAGTATAAGAAGCAAATACATCAATTAGTACGCAAGAATATATGGAAAATCCGAAAATACATCAAAAATTGTTTAAAGACTTTCCCTCAACCCTGTGTATGAAAATGCTCGTTTTTGAACACTCATTTCATATCCATCCGAAATCTGTGACTCGCTCCTCACAGGAGAGTTATGAGGGTCTTTTCCCTCAAAGTGGCAAAATTGCGTTGTGTAAAGGAGCCGTCAGGATCCCATCCGCTAGCGGCTGGTGTAGTGATAAGTGTGCTAGTTTTCCAGGGAACACGTCCCAAGTGCAATCCCTGTTGGAGCCTTTTGTTTTTTCTATAATGAGTTGATTCCATGTTTAAAGCACCATATAAAGACGATATGATAAAATTAGCTCAAATTTGTCAAGCATGAATATTTTCATAATCATCGGGTTTGAAAACCGTTATGGGCGAAGTTTCTGTTTAATCTAAGATCATCAATATTTTAGCCGAAACAAGTCGGCGAGCTCCAGAGCTTAAAGCAAAAAAAAAATCAAAGGGTCCGAACTTCTCGGAAAAGTTGCGGATAGAGGAGGTTATCTGGCCTACTGATCACGAAAAACACTTGCTTTGCAAATTAGCGTCTTGCTGTAGGGCTACGGTAAGTGAAAGTTGGAAAACGTCGTTTTTTCAAAATACAGCGGCCTATGTATTTTTCTCTCTGGAAAAGAGATCTCGGATCGCAATAATTTACCGGAACAGCTCTACCGAATCATGTTTTTTAGAGTCTTCCATGTGTGTTCTGCGCTGAGTTACACCATCACGGAAACCGTCCTTACAAAAAGAGCAAGCAGGTTAAAAACGAAATAGCAGGATAGCGTAGTAAATCAGAAGATTCATCTTGACGAGCTAAACATCATGCTTTTTCGGATTCATATTCTATGCAATAAGGAAGTTATGAAGAAAAAACAAAAAAACGCTTGTCGCCAGTTTTTGCGTTTTCTGTCGAGTAATTAGTGTGGGTACCGTATCTGAGGCTAGGTAGGTTGTGGTCACCTGACCTAAATCAATCTGTCTCAGACGCTTCTAAAGCTTCAGTGCACTTAGGACGGTAGCATTCCCCGATGTTGATCATCGGTTCTATCTCCTCTGCTTCTAAAGTCTGCTTTTTAGCCCAAGCTTACCTTAATTTGGCATTCTTTGTAGATGCTTTTTGCAGCTGTCGCACTTACCCTAGGTGATGAAAGTGTGGCAGACGATTTTTGGATCCACTTTTTCCCTTTCCGTTATGTTGTTTTGGAGTTGCGTTGGCTCACCTAGAGTGCATACATAAGCATAAACATAGAATCATTTTCAAACGGACAAGCATCTTTTATTGTATACCAAACATCTTCACATATGTAGGCTAGCGACAATCCTATAGAGAAATACGTTGAAGTGGAAGAGTGAAAGCGACGATCGAGCGGTAAGCTACTGCAAAAAGAATATCAAGTACATTGATGAGAAAAATTGAAGAAGAACTAAGGGAAAAATCGAAAAATTTCACTCGCCTGAAATATCAGAATTCAAGGAGGAGCAATTGAAAGCGCGAGCGCTGTGGAAAAGATCTTGGCAACGACTCAAGAAAACTTGGCAAGAATCCATATTGAAAACTCTGCAAGATTCAAGAGACTGGGAAAACATACTATCTTCACACATCTTGTGGTTCTTGCGTTAGGTAGTTACTGCAAGAAGATTTCAAACTTATGATGGATATCATTATATGCTGCTGTGTATGTCTAACGATACAGTATTTTGAGTGGACGGAGAAAAATTTGAAGCAGAATTAGAACTCTTACGATATTTTACTATGACATCACTTTCGATGCTAACGCACAGTGCACGTCATTTTCTCCACAGAGCCATTTTCAAGATTGTTGAAGCTAGAACTTCCAAACGTCTTTTTCAGAAACTTATGAATTAGTCATGGCTGAAAAGTGCCACAGTTCGGCTGTCCCGCCATTCCCAAGCACTGAGTCTGAGAAAATGGCTATGATGAGTATTTGCGTTAGCGCTGAAAAGGTGCTTATCCGTCTTACCCATTACCGGGTACGTATGTGGGTGATTGATAGCTGCTGAAACCGGAGATGAATATTTACTTTGTGAATACATTAGGTAGCCTTTATATGCCGTCGAGCTGGCCCATAGCAAATCATTGCAGATCAGCTCCCTTCGTTCTTACTGTTAGGAGTTTTGTTAATTGGAAGTTCGTGTGTGGTCACTATGCAGTTACACCTTTGTTTACATTTTCTTTCTTGCACTTGCACTCTCAGCTTGGATCTCATATAAAACCCAGCAAAAAGACCACATATTCTTGCATAGTGAAATACAATACAGGATGATCGTTGCATACCCCATGCGGAGTCCAGGCAAAGGGCAAATGATTTTTTCCTTGATTTTCGGTCCCATTATAGTTCTCGCGATGAAGATACGCGTAATTTTTTTCAAAATTTTCATGTATCTCAGAAGGCAGGGTGAAATGCAATGGTTGAAATTTTCAAAGTAATTTATAAAACATGTATGAATTCTACACCCAATGGTTCCATCGTATCTTTCGTTTATCTCGTGCATTATTTTCCTTTTAATTCAAATTCCCATAGGCTCAGCAGTGATGTCCTCAGCGATGAAGTTCTACTACTATACCAAGAATCCGGTGCGCAGGACACTGTCGTCCACCATGTGGGTTCATTCTTAGCCCTTCCTGATAGCTTCGAGTTGTTGCGTTTAGGTCCAACTCGGACAGTCTAGAAGAGTTCAAACGACGCTTCAGACGCAGTGGGTCTCTCGGAATACCATTCGTTATGGAAGAAGATATTCGTACACTCTTCCCGAATAAGGTGGTGGTTGTGGACAGATTACCAAACTATCTGGATACTACCAAATTTTGGACTCTTGCGCTCATCTGCTACATTGTTGCGTGCTCACAAGTTGGACTATAAGAATGGCGCTTCTATGGCAGAAAATTTTGAAAAATTGGCTGCATTTCTCAAATCTTTAGCGGTATAAATAGAGTTTAAGCATTATGAAGGTAGTGACTAAAGAAAATGGAAGGAGGATGACAGAGACCTCACGAGATTGGGTCATGAAATGTTTTAAAAACGCATGGGTTATAGAACTGTACTAGTGGCTGTTCTCACCCGTAAATGATCAAAACTTTTGAAATTTTCTAAGAAGTCACACTAGCTCCATGACAAATTTTCTTCGGGGTTGAAGTAATTCCTGGATTCGCCAATGCAGTTGCCGAAGCGAATATTCAAAAATACTAGAAGTTCAAATCGGAAATCCTGCGAATTCACATCGAGTAGAATTAAGATTATAACTATAAATTTTGTTTTAATCTTTAATGAGATTGTGTAATTTTTACCCAATTCTCTATCCTTCCAGAATGAAGAGATGATCATCGAGGATGTGGACGGACAGCCAATTCTTACAGTCATTGTAAAATGTCCCCGCGCAGCCGATGGTGTGTCCCAAATGATCTCCAAACTTCCGGTAAATGATTAACAGAATAGAACTTGTATAATCTTGATCATAAATTTCTAGGCCAACACTCGCATCAAGCATATGGAAACCCGTGACAGCAAGGATGGCCCTAGTGGTGATATGGATGTGCTAGTGGAGCTGGAGCTAGAACCAGGAAAGAGCGCAAAAGAGGTGATGGGTGCAATGAAGGAAAAAGGATTGCAGGTATGGGACCACCTAAATTTACCAGACCTCAACAATAGGACAAGATTTCAGTTCTATGAGGTATCATTCACAATGAAGCCACCAGTGTTGGAGAAGTACATCGAGCCTGGATCAAACGGTTTCTTGAGAAACTGAGCAACATAAAAATTGAAAAATATTATTTTAGATGCTATCACTGGCTGTCAGTGGTTTCCAAAAACAATCTACGATCTTGATATTTGTGCCAAGAAAGTAATCATGTACGGTGCTGGGCTTGATGCCGATCATCCGGTAAGATTCATTCAAAATTATTATTTCGTGCCAAAGGTTGCAAAAAAACTGTTTGCATTGAAATGATAGTAGAACAAACGCTAGGTATTTGAATGAGTATGAAATTCAAAAATCAAAAAATATGACAAAACTACGAAATATGACAAAAAGCATTACTCACTTCTTACTTACACATTTGCTCTCTCGATAGTTTGAATATGATTTTTGGTATTGGGGAGGGGGGGGGGGGGGGTGGAGGATCAAAAAGACGGATATGTCAGTTCATGACACATAATACTCAGTGGCTCGAACTATGCAAAATTACACTTATTTTCTTCTACAGTAGCCCGTATTTCAGGGTTTTAAAGATCCAGAATATCGCAAACGACGTATGATGTTTGCAGATATCGCCCTGAACTATAAACAGTAAGCAAAACATTTATTACTTTTAATTTTACAAAAATGGATGAATTATGTTTTAGTGGTGAACCAATTCCTCGCATTGACTATACCGAAAACGAAAAGAAAACTTGGGGAATAATCTATCGCAAATTGCGAGAATTGCATAAAAAGTAAGAAATACTCAAGTTGCTATTGCAAGAAAAAAGAAATTAAACAGATACTTGCTAGGCATGCTTGTCAAGAATTCCTCGACAACTTTGAACTTCTGGAAAAACACTGTGGCTATTCGGAAAACAATTTTCCTCAGCTGGATGATATTTCGCGTTTTCTCAAAGGTGAGCCTTGATTCCAAGGAACTTGCTGAGAATTCGCAAATTCAAAAATATTTTTTCCAGCTAAGACCGGCTTTACTCTACGTCCATGTGCTGGCTATTTGGCAGCTCGCGATTTCCTCGCCGGACTTGCTTTTCGTGTGTTTTTCTGCACACAGTATATTCGCCATCACTCCGATCCGATGTACACTCCGGAACCGTAAGTAATCTATCCATTGACCTTCTGGATACTTCTAGAGAGCCATCGTTTCTGGTCCGTGAGCCGTTTTTGCGCTGGCTCCATAATGTCACCGCTCAGTTTTTTGCGAGTGACCAGCTGTAACACCTGCGTCGCGATCAGGAAAAAACCGACATGAGTGAAAAAATGAACCAAAAAAATCAAAGAATAGTAATTAGTAACGGAGAAAAATAAATGTTCTTACAAAAAGCTAGAATCGTATAGTCCGCAATCCTTATGATTAAGCTGTACATGTTCATGTTAACGTCCTCTGCGACTCAAAGGCGTCAAACCGCGCCGCTTCGTTTTTGCGTATGTAACGCACATAGCCTGTTTCAATCAAAGTGTCCCTGCTTGGCATACCACTTTGAGTATGCGTTGTGCTGCGTTCGCTGGCGTTACTTAAGAGCTCAAACTGGCATAATCAACTGGAGGTCGCGCGAGACACTCGCGTAGTATATGCTTGACCGCGCCCAGAGGGGACACTGCAGCTGAGACAGACTCTAAATAGAGACCGTGCGAGCTGTAACCCAGAATGTTCATTTTGATTCGCAATTTTCTTCTGCGGTGTTATTTTATTTGTTCCTATAATTTTCTCGTCAATCTTTTTCTCTTCACTGAACTTTCAAAAAAGAGGATGTTAATCTGAATGGAAATGAAACGAATACTGCATAAGACTAAACCCCGACATGACCTTTACCCTAGAGTTTTTTTCATCCTGTTCTACATGTGTTTTACAGCGACACCGTTCATGAGCTTATGGGCCACATGGCATTATTTGCGGATCCAGATTTTGCGCAATTTTCTCAGGAGATCGGTTTGGCTTCACTTGGAGCAAACGATGATGATTTGAAGAAACTTGCCACAGTAAGAGTTTTTTTTTGTCTTTTGAAAATTATCTGAATATGAAAGAAAAAATTGTGCCCAATACGCTTGAAAAAAACCTTGCTATTTCTGAACAAAGTGCGAGCTAGACGGTAACAAAATTACGCCTGAAGCAAACTAGTTTTCCAGGCGGGACTCACCGGATTCTCTTGAGGTATATTTCCATTTTAGCTCTACTTTTTCTCCATCGAGTTTGGACTCTGCTACGTTGGGCATGGTGACGGGAACAATAAGGAAAACAACAAAACCTTCGATTATAAAATTTACGGAGCCGGTCTTCTGAGCAGCGCTGGCGAGCTACAGGTAGCAAAATCACTTGGACCCTGATATTTGAATAAAAAATAATCAAAATATGTCCTAAATTTTCAGCATGCTGTACAAGACTCGCCTACCATCCTACGTTTTGATCCAGACCGTGTAGTTCAACAGGAATGTCTCATTACCACATTCCAGGATGCTTATTTCTACACGAAGAGTTTCGAGGAGGCTTTGCAGAAGCTAAGGTAATCCAGTCAAGCAGCACAAAACTTTTAGCAATTCTAAGAATGACGCATATTTGCAGAATGTACACGAGCAACATGAATCGTCCGTTTGTTGTTCGCTATAATCCATATACGGAAAGTGTAGAGGTAAGGACGGTACGAGTTTACTTCATGTAATATAATCGCGATTACTTGTGATAAAAAAGTGGAAGAAGGTTTTTTTTCGTGAATCTATGCCAGTAAGTATGAAAAAGTTTTTTCATTTGGAAATACTGCGGAAAATCTCAAAATTTTTTTTGAAAATTTCTTCCTTGGATCTATTTTTTCCGAAAAAAAAGGCTATATTCAGTGCAATGGACATGTATCTGGTTAGTATCTGGTTACTGTAGAAGTATAAATTTACTTACCAACACAAGAAATTTTCCTCTCCTTGGAAGCAAAAAGATTTTCGGAACTTGAAATTTTTTGATGTTTGATAGCGAAACGAGTAGTCGCAGAATCTCCACAGGGATTGCGTTGTGAAAATTCCAGACTGCGTAATGAAATTCCAACAGGCAGGAGATTTAGATAAACAAGGTATCCAATGTTTTTGTAAATTCTGAGATGTAGAATCTCTCTAGCTTTATGGGGGATTGTTTTGCAAATAATAGTGCATTTGCACTCGGCAATAAACTTTTGCTTGAAGTTTTTTCTTGCGCGTAAGTGCCGCTTAGTCGGACGAGTTTTTCGGGCCCTTTGAAGCTTTCTGTTTGTATATTGAAAATGAGTAATGCGGGCTGTAAAAGCTCACACTCATAGGCAATAAACTTTACGCTGCATAATCCGAAATGCAATGACGATCATTGTCAACAGCACAGTCGTTATGAAAAATTCACAGTTGGAGATTGAAACTTCGTTTAGATTCTGAACAACAAACGTGCACTGATGATGACGGTGAACTCGCTTCGCTCCGACATCAATTTGCTGGCTGGATCACTTCACTATGTTCTGTAATTGCAGAAATTGTCAAGAAGATTCCTATCGTATCCCCATCCTACATGATCTCCATTGTACTGTTACCGTAGTCCTATGGAAATTTAGTGCTGGTCCCGCCACGAAATTTGAATCATGCTTATCTTTCTGGATGACTTTGCTATGGACTGTAGTCGTAGAAAATGTTAAAAAGACCGTGACCGTATCCCTGTTTGGTCTCTACTGCGTTGTTACCGTAGCTCGACGAAAGTTCTGCGGGTCTCGCCGCGAAATTACAGTTCGTGGCTGGATTCACTTCACTATGTCCTGCAGTTGTAGAAAAAGTCCGAATATCCCTTTTAGCCCATGCTTCATGATCTCCACCGTGATCTTACCGTAGCTCCACAAAAATTTGGTGCTTGTGGTCCCGCCACGAAATTCCACTCCATAAATCATGCTTATATGATAGAAACAGATGTGTTGAAGTAGCAAATGTTGCCGATTTCCATATGGTGTATGTCTAGTAGAGCCCGAACGCGACAATAAATATACTTTCACACCACGTTGTCATTTGTTTTGTTTGCGGCAAAGCTGGTTGGCAGCTTATTCATCTCTCTCTCCTCTCTTCTGTTCGATTTCGACTAAAATTGCGCTGTCTCTTTGTCAGGCTTTGTGTCTAGCCGATATTTCTTCTTTTTTTCATTAAAGACTAGTAATTTGTCGACAAAGCATTTAATAAGAGAAATAAGACTACAACAGCAAAACAATTTTGCTTTCATCAGATGCGAACTCAAAGCGAAATGCTTTCAAAACTTTTTATAAATTTAAATATTTCTCAATAGCCTAAGAATTTTCGACTATATATCTCATTAACCATAACGAAAATTCATGAAAATGATATTTGAGAATTTTTTTGAGATTGTTAAGCATTCTTTGCTCTTCATCGCACTGATTGATCTGGATGAAAATATTACATTGGCCGAAAATCTCGTTTGCACCGTTTTCAAAAATTCATAACTTTCGACTTTTTCAGTCGATTTATTTTTTTTGAAAGGGTAAATCATGCTATTTACAATATTTTATTTTTAGAGACTTATTACTGAGCACACACTGCATAGATAGAAGCAGAAAGGGAAAATTACTCATCATTGGGAAAATCTGAATTTTGCTTTTTGCTTGGTCGTAAAAAATCTGAATTTTTTAGTCGGTATCTAAGGGTCTTACTAACTGCTCTTTCTAACTGCGCAAAGTTTGTGCTAATTGAACGCCTCTATGAAAAGTATGATTTTGAGCGAGCGTACAAACAGTTTGGCATTTTTCACCGAGAATCATAACTTTCTTAGAGACATTCAGTTAGCATAAGCATTGTTCATTCAAAAATAGCAGGTAATAAAACTTAAATACCGACTTATCCTGTTTTTATTGCAAGTTTCAAGTTGTTCGGAACACCAAAAAAGATAAAAATTGAGTGATTATCTTAAAAATATATGATCAATTGATACCAGCCAAAGTAACGTTGGGAAAAGCATGATATACTCTTGCGAAATAAAAACAAGCAATTCGGTTGGAAAAATAAGAGTTGTGAATTTTTGAAAATGATTCTAATAAACTTTCGGGTCAACTTCATATAAGACCTGAGTTCTTTCAACATTTTATAGGTTTTCAAGAGTCTAGAAAAAAAAACTATGAGAGTAGCATTTTCCCCATAATCGAACGCATTTATTTCTTGATCATCTACTTCGGTATCTGCCCTTACGCATAAAACTGGTAAATTTAAAGTCTAAATTCTAAAAATTTTCCGAAGATTGCTTTTTGTATCAATGTGGCTGTAAATTGCTAGCATCTGCGGTTGTTCTTCCAAGATCTTGCGTAATCTTTGCACCTTCTCAGAGGGCACTTGAATGGCTCAATAGCAGGAAATTGCCTTCGGTCATACTGGTCTTGCTGCTGTTGCATAAGATCTAGCAAACTATATCTTGTGGTCATTTTGTAAAAAAAAAGTGGTACGTGCTTGTGCTCTGAGTACGGGAAAAAGTTTTGCAACACTGAAATGGCATTCCTTTTTCTTCCCATGATTTTCTGAATAACTTGATCAAAAACGATTTCTTATGAAATACTGCAAGATTATCTCAAAATTGAATTAGGCATCATCCATCATTATGGTGGTATAATGCTTACTTTGCAGATTACAAGGCTGTCAGTATAGTCGAGTAGATTTTCCTTTTAATATATTTTGCTTGCACCGCAGGTGAAATGCGGTAAAATTTGCCAGTGAACAAGTAGCTATCTCTGTGATGCCGCTCAGTTGTGCGCGCAAATTATTGGCACTAGTGGAGTAGATCTTTATTCACGCGCAAATTTTACCGCATTTCAACAGCTGTGCGAGCACATCAAATTAGGTGAATCCTACTCGACTGTAGGCAACGATCGGTAGAAATGTGCTATAATTGATTAGAATAGCAAAGGAGATAGTGCGGTAGGGTTGAATCAGACATGGTCAAGCTAGGCGATTCACTAGATTACGTTAAATTACCAGAGTAACGTTGAAATCACATTATTTAGTCACCTTTAAACATTGTTTGGAATAAATTCTTTGAATAATACCGTTCAACTAGCTTGCATTTGAAGGTACTCTTTAATTCAACGTAATTGACGGCTGGAAGGCGGGGCTTCGAGGCCTAATCAAGGCTAGAGAATGATAAGAGAGCTCGCAAGAGAGACGCAGACTGCGTTGCGGGTGCATGCAGTCGCCTTCCAGTCGCCAATCCCGTTGAATCAAAGTATACATACATTGTCCTTGGACAGTAGTAGCTTTACGGTGTGAGAATCCCCGCTCACATGCAGGACCTTAATCTGCGTTGGAACCCGTATACAGAATGACTACCGTAATCCTAGTGTAGGCGATTGGGCCTAATGTCATTTCTGTTAATCACCACTTTCAGCCGCACGAGTAATATTCTGAAAAGACATTACCTTTTTGCACAAATACGGGCTGTTGAGTCGAATGTTCAGCAACGCAAATTCTGTGATCCAAAATGGCATTTGAAAAAGCGGCTCTCTGTGGTTTTGCTAAGAAACTACTGATTAGTTGATGACCGCCAGGCCTATCAGAAGCAGTGTTCAGGCTAAATCTAACCCTCTCCGATTAGTGCCGATCCTAAATGTATTTCTTAGGAGAGGAGCATCTGTATTAGTCCGGTCCTCTAATGCTGTCTCTGAAAGCAGATAGGCTTGAAAGAGGCGAAGTGCTATCAAGCCCCGCCCAGATCCTAGCAAGCTCCGCCTACCCATGTGCTGAGAACCGTCCGCATCCTCAAGACAGGGTCCCCAAGAATCGAATTTTTGTTAGCTTTTGGACAGTTAGAACATCGTAACCGTTATCAGGGCCACGAAAAGGCCCCAGAATGGCAAAAACATTGCAGGCGAAATATTGGGTGGATTCTTAACTCCTCCAAACTTCAATCACTTAGTGACAGTTGTGACAAGACCGCGGTATATTTAAGTTTTCTTTGATGACGCAAGGCAATATCTCGCCGGTTTCCTTCTGTTTGCGCTTCGCACATGTTCTTTTCTATCCTTTCTACCAGCAGCTCTTTTCTTTTTATCATCTACGTCATCAGACTCCCTCAAGATTTTCTTAAACCTTCGTCTTACAGAGCAGCAGAAATCCTTCAACGTTTGTGGATCTAGTTTTCTCTTAGTTGTCGGCAATATTTGATTTCGACTACATTTCTCTCAAGAGGCGACTGTCATCTGCAGGAAGTCTCTTTCAATGTTTGCACAGTTACCTGTTCTCAAAACTCTACGACAGCTTCGGTACTTCTAAGAGCGTTCTAGATGTTTTTTACATCCCAGTAGTGAGGTGGGCCGTTTCACAGAAGTCATACTCTGTGGTAAATACTTATCTCTTGTTAACCGTTCTCGTTAAAAGCACCACACCCTATCGTTAATGCATGTGAAGGTTTTGTAATTCTAAAAAAGGCGCGCGGCGTTGTCGACAGACTACCTTGAACGGGGTAAGTAAACGAGAACATGCGAGGTGAGGAGCGGTTAGGTAACCTGTTATTAATTATCCATTTCTCTGGTTTTTTTATTTCTTTGTTCTCTTCCACTGTTTATCGTTTTTCGTTATCAAAGAAAATTTCCGCATCAATATTATCCCGTCATCTTTGGTTAGCCCGCATGCTTTTCGCTCCTTTACGTTGCCTTTGATGCGCCTTTTTCAAAACATTGCACACCGTTGTTTCTGTAATAACGTCCCATAAGCAAAATAAGCCATGGCGATAAAACCTGCGGAAATCTGCGGGACACAGACCGATGACTTTTACTGATTGACAGCTTTTGTAGATTTGCTAAAGTTTTTGACTCTTGATGGCGCAATGCCTATGAGTCGCGCCTTAAGGCACAGATTATAGTTATCTCATGTGACTTTCTTGCTGTGACACCACCACGTAGAGAAAATCTTGTAGCCAACTCTCTGTGATTTTTTAGTGGTTGATAGAATCTTTTATTTTGAAATCAGCCAATAAAATTTCCTCCAAATTTATCAAACAAATTTGACTTAATTATCCTAGAATGGTGAATTCAGTAAAGCCTTGGAAAAGTTTTTGGATATCATAACAATTCCGAAAAACTGTTTCATATGATATTAAAGTTTAGTCTAGAATCTTTTGAAAACATTCGTCCAGGAGTTACCGACAACATTTGCGCGTAGTATGGGCTAGAGCGCGAAATGAAAGTGTGTGCTCTGGTCGCACGGGCAAATGTTGCCGGCACCGCAGCGGCACACTATACCAAACTTCAAATCTAGCACAAATGTTAGAACTTTTTTTTTAAATTTACGAGCAACATCTGAGAACTTTGTCGAAATTTAGGCAGAAGGTTACGTAATCAGTTTCGATATAATATTTACTTCTTCGTGATTTTTCAAGTTCGGAGATTCCGAGATTTAAGATTACCTCCTGATTTCTATTTTTCAAAGTTTTTTCGTTCAGTCTTCCCAGGAGGGAACCAAACTTCACATAGGGTTCCCATGGCCGATC